TCCTCAGAAGAATTCTTTCTCTTTTTATATAAAATCACCTCTTTTGTTTAGTCTCTCCAATAACCTTACCTAACTATGCAGTTCCTCCTGTCTGGAGTGTTCAGGGCCTGATTCTAGTATTTATGACAGGTATAATCTCTATGCCTTGATTCCTGCCTTCATTTTATTCCACTACCCTGGGGCTCCTGGGTGGCTTAGTCGGTTAAGCGTCCGACTTTTCGCTTAGGTCATGATGTCGCAGTTCGTGGGTTCAAGCCCCGCGTCGGGCTCTGTGCTGACTGCCAGCTCAGAGCCTGGAGCCTGTTTCAGTCTGTGACTCGCTCTCTCTCTGGCCCTCCCCTGCTCATGCTGTCTCTCTCTCTCTCTATCTCTCCTAGAAATAAATTAAAAATATATATATATATTCCACTACCCTAATGAATATTTTTGTCTAATTTGACCTAACCTGGGATCCCATCTGCAGTAGTTTTAAAACATGTCTATGAGGCACCTGGCTGGCTCAGTTGTAGAACATGTGATTCTTGATCTTGGGTTTGTAAGTTTGAGCCCCATGTTGGGTGTAGAGATTACTTAAAAGTAAAATCAATTTTTAAAAAGTCCAAATTTCATGACAGGCCTTCCTTCAAAGAGTAGACCCTGATTCCACTCCCCTTGAAAATGGACTGGACTTAAAGAATCACTTCTAATAAACAGAATATGGCAAAAGTGGCAGTGTGAGTTTCAAGATAAGGTCATAGAAGGCACTGAAGCTTCTTCCTTTCTCTCTTGGGTCATTCAACCTGAGGGAAGCCAGCTGTGCACATCACTAAGCCATCGAAACAACTCTATGGAGAGGTACAAGTGGAAAGCAACTGAGTTCTACCAATAGCCAGCAAGAGGTCTTCTGCCAATAGTCACGTGTTATGGTTAAATTATGTCCCCTCCCCACAAAAGATAAGTTGGAGTCTTCACCCCGAGGACCTAAAGATATGACCTTATCTGGACATAGAGTTTTTACAGAGGTAATCAAGTTACAGCAAAGTCGTTAAGGTGAGCCTTAATCCAATATGACTAGTGTCCTTATGAAAAAGGGAAATTTGGACACAGAAGTATGCCCACAGGGACAATGCTAAGTGGAAATGAAGTCAAAGATCAGGCCGAAGCAGGTACAAGCCACAGTACATCAAACACTGCCAGCAAACCACCAATATGAAGGAGAGAGGCATGGAATAGATTCTCCCTCACAGCTGTGTGAAAGAATCACTCTGCCAACACTTTGATCTTGTACTTCTAGCCCCCAGAACAGAGACAACACATTTCAGTGGCCCTAAATCACCCAGTTTGTGGCACTTTGTTACACTAGCAGCCCCAGGAAACTAACATATCATGTGAATGAACCACTTTGGAAGCAGATCATCTAGTCCCAGGAAGAAGCTTTCAAACTACTGCAGCCTTAACCATTGATCTTGACCTCCACTTCCTGAGACAACCCTAGCCAGAACTGACAGCTAAGGTGCCACTGAATTCCTGCCCCCACAGAAATTATGAGAAAAGTGTTTGATGTTTTAACTGCTATTATGTACTAAATTGTGTCCTCCACCCTATATTCATACAGTGAAGGCCTAACTCCTAAAGTGACTATATTTGGAATCAGAGCATTTACAGAGGTGTTTAAGGTTGAATGAGATTGTTGGGATGGAGCCCTAATACAAAATGACTATTGTCCTTGTAAGAAGAGGAAGAAATACAAGGGATAGTCACACACAAAGAAAAGCCATCTGAGGACACAGTGAGAAGACCGCCATTTGCAAGCCAAAGAGAGGGGCCTCAAGAGAAACCAAACCTGCTGACATCTTTCACCTCCAGAAGTAGAGAAAACAATTTTCTGTTGTTTAAGCCATTTGGGTCAGTGGTATTTTGTTATGGCAGCCCCAGAAGAATAATACAGCTGCTAAAATTTGGGGACAACTTTTAGTCCCACAAGAATAGATAACGATATTCTTTCCCACACCAGCCCCCTAAACACATATATTTTCCATCTCCATTCACCACCCAAAATGGTCCCAACAGTTGAGCCCTAAAGTACACAAATTAGAAATGTCAACAATATTTCTTTGAACAGATTTGAGGTTCTGAAACTCTCACAGATTGTGGAAAAGGCCCTGTGATAAATCCGTCAAGTGAGAAGCAATTCTTCCAATAATGACCTCTCGCCTTTAAGTGAAAATACTAAAGGATGACATTTAGCCTGTACATGACCCTGTTTGATTTTCAGACTGACCATGGCTAAGATCATAATAGAACTTTGAGAGGAAAAGAAGCTTATAATTCTAACCCAATGGAGAACTTCTGTCCATTGGAAATAACCACTACTTTCTCTCTGCTTCTCTTAGCAACTTGGACCTCTGCTGCAGATGTTGAGTTATATGAAATTGTTAACCCCTCAACCAACAAACACTTGCTCTTCCAGACCGGTGACTTGTCTCAGTTATGTTTTTTTAATTTATTACAGTTCCTAGCACAGAGCAAACACTCAATAAATGTTTAGAGAATGACTGGATCCAGAACTACCCTTCCCCCTTTAATTCTACCACAGGCAGTTCTATGCCAAGACTTTATTTAAAAAGGCAGCACTGAGCTGTGAGCCTTGCTCCTTCATTTTACTGCCTCAGGAGAACTCCTTCTGTGATGGCTCCTGATGAATTCAAAGTGTGGTCTGTTTGATTTCTCTGGAAATCACTTTTCAGCTTCTGATTGTCAGGTAAGCTCTCTCAAATTTAGTTCTTGCCTGTCCCTTTCCCACCACAGTGACCATTTTCTGCCTCATGTCTTCTGAGCACAACCCTAAGATCCTGTGAATCCCATTAGCTCTCTTCATGGGCCAATTCTCTGCCTTCGTACCTGGCCTAAATCCTTACCGCACTTATAATTAATCAGCACCCGGGGCACCTGGGTGGCTTAGTTGGTTAAGCATCCGACATCCGACTTCAGCTCGAGTCATGATCTCACGGTTCATGGGTTCGAGCCCCATGTCGGGCTCTGTGCTGACAGCTAGCTCAGAGCCTGGAGCCTGTTTCAGATTCTGTATCTCCCTCTCTCTGACCCTCCCCTACTCATGGTGTGCGTGTGTTTGTGTGTCTCAGAAATAAATAAAACATTAAATTTTTTTTTAAAAATCACTCAGCACCCTCAACCATCCTACCTATTCAACTAGGTATCCTACGTATTCAACTTCAAGACTGAAAACCTGCATCTTATGACTCAATGGCTTTAAGTCTCTTTAGGTTGGGTTCCTCGAATTGTGTTCTACTGACTGGCAATGGGGGAAGGAGGGATTAGTTCTGTCTATATAATAAATATTATAAAAGTCACAGACCCATGTATGAAAGTGGTTGCAAAAGCTAATCTTTTGAGTGTTTCCTTGGCGCCAAACTCCAAACTGCTTTCACCCTTTCCTACTATCAAAGGAAAGTTTAAGTCTGTGTTAAGTGTGAGAGGGGACCACGCTTATTGGAGACAAAAAGAAGCTGGAGTATCCAGTAACATCAATATTTTTAGTTATATTTCATAACTACCCTAGTCTATACCTACCTTCTTTAGATGTATTTAGAACTTCTTGAGCTATTTTCTGGAAACATTCAGGGGCAATCCTTTTTAAAAAAACACCATCTCAAGAAAGATCCTGAATGCATTCACGAATGAATTAAGGATGCACTTTGTCTTAAAAGCTGCCAAGTAGTTTCTCCAGCCCAAAACACTTGAAGGCTGAGTACTTAAGTGAAAACATTGTAACTATTCATAATCACAGCTAACATTTGGGACACACAGGTGGCTCCGTTGGTTAAGCAGCATGCTCTTGACTTTGGTTCTGGTCATGATCTCACTATTCGGGAGATCAAGTCCCGCACATGACAGTGCATCCCCCCAAAATCACAGCTAACATTTATTGAGTGCTTTTACAATATGCAGGCTACTGTGCTCACATGCTTAAGAGGGAGGCTCGCATTTAATCCTGCCAACAGCACTATGACAAAACTTACGCACAAAAGAGTAACTTGTCCAAAGATACCCAGCTGGTAAATCATCAGGGGGGATTTAAACCATTTGAAGACTCTGAATCCGGAACTCCACTGTCTCTTGGGTTTCTAGCAGCTTCACTAATGATATTCCCTTCTGGTATTTAGCTGTTGGCATAAAGTATTTCACTGGGTTACCTCATCCTTTGGTTGCCAGGACCTGGATAAGGATAGAAGTGTCTCCTGGACCAATCTATTTATGTCTAGAAGAGAACCCTTTGACTATGTCAGTACTCATCCAGGAAGTACTCAATAAATGTTTACTGAATGAATGAAGCCAGTTTGGAATTTGTTAAAAATAAATGACTCTTTTATATCCACTTAAGAATAAAAAAAGAGGGACAGTCTCAAACCCTTTTCTCACTAAGTGCTCACATGGGAAAGTATGCATTTCATTTTGGTGATTCGGGAAGGCGAAATCACAGAGAAAACTGAGGGTGGAAGGGAGCAGGTGGAAGGTGGGGAGGATTATTCTGTAAGAAAGAGGGCAGGGTGCTAGACCCAAAAAGATGAATCTAAATCCTAAATCAGTTAAACGAAGTCCATAATGAATGGTCAGAAAATCCAAGGGGAGAGGAAACACTAAAATTTGAGGAGCCTGTCAGAGTGATTCTTCCAAAAGAGGTTTCAACTTTCCACCCTCACTCCCAAATGTTCATATCTGACAGTCACATTGGAAATTATCTGGGTCGCCTTGGCGACTTCCCGAGATGGTGCCTATTCTTCTATTATGAAAGATCAATATGAAACACAAAAGCGTCCGGGGGCATGAGACGCGCCAGCTGCTTGGCCAGAGAAAGCCAGCCAGGCAACCGCCCGCGCAGAAACGTGGAGTGCGCACGAGGCCGAATGCAGTTCGGGAAGCCCGCTGCAATGGCTCAAAGCAGCCACCAGGTGGTACTCCAGGATTAGGATCGCGGCGGACTTCCGGCCCTCCCCCTCCACCCTTCAGGACCCCCTCCGCAAGCTCCCAGGAGGGCGCCCCGGCCGACCCGGCCGCTTGCATGCGGCGACTCCCAGCTGCGAGGTCAAGAGTCGGGTTCGCTTTGAATGGACTCGGGCACCGGTCCAAAGGGTGCAAGTGCCTCGCGGCAGGCCGTTCCTCCCCCCGCCGCGCGGAGGGCGCTGACCCAAAGCGGGCCGGCGAGCGCGGCGGGCGGCTATAGGCTGCAGCGCGGGGCGGGAGGGGGCGAGGCAGGCCCTGGCGAGGTGGGCCCTGACCAGGCCCCCGCGGCGGGGGGCAGCAGCGCGTGGGGCCCCGGGGCTGGGAGCGGAAGCCTGGTCCGCCGCCCGCCCCAGGCCCTTGAAGGACCCAGACGCGGGGCACAGCCTCCAGCCGGAGAGTTTCAGCGGCGGGGCGACGACCCAGGTGGCGTTTCCGGAGCTGGGAGGCACTACCTGACGCCGCTGTTTGTTTTTCTAGTTTTCAGCCACCGAAGGTTGGATATCAGACATGAATTACGCACGGTTCCTCACGGCCACGAGCGCAGCGAGAACGCCTTCTGCCATCCGACTCATGAGTGAGTGCTGGCCCGGCGCCTCTGCTCCAGGGGTGGGGGGTTCCCGCAGAGCCCCAGAGGGTGGTGCCCACGGTCCGCGCCGATCGCACCCATTCATTGAGCTGTGAAAGCCCGCTGCGAGCCAGGCTCTGCGTGCAGACCTGAAGCAGGCACACGCTTTGTTCTCGGAGAACTCGGGCTGGAACGGAAGGCGCGGAATTGGGTATCTCCGCTCCAGTGTAGCAATAGAGAGGCAGGGAGGCACAGGCTGTTGGGGGACACGTCCTTGGAAGAGGGACGGTGTGCGGTGTAGAAAGGCCCTTGCCAGCAAAATGAGTAGATGTTAGTTAGGCACAAGGTGCAGGTGTGTGCGGAGTGGGGCGGGCCTGGTAAGCTGGAGAGAAGGGAGTGAGCCTTGAAGCTTGACCGGCAGGTAGGCGCTCAACGGAGGACGATTTTCTGCGATCGCGGCCCTTTGCTTATCTTCCGGATCCCTCTGCCTTCTCAGTTGGACATCTGTCTTTAGTTCCACGACCAGTGAGCAGGTCCAGAAGAAGTTATTTTATCTGTTTATTTTCAGCTAGCATTCTACCACTAGGAATTGCTCAGCTTTACAGTTTTATGGACTATAATGCAATATATGGATATATATTTGTTTATGAAAATCTTCACTGAAAGTTTCTTCTTCTTTTCCAAATTTATTGTAGCTGAGACATTGATCAAGTCACCAAAATCGGTCATCTCCTTAGCTACTGGAACACCAAACCCCAACACATTCCCTTTTAAGACTGCTGTTATCACCGTAGAAAATGGAAAACCCATCCAGTTTGATGAAGAGATGATGAAGAGAGCACTTCAGTATTCTCAAAGTGCTGGGTAGCTATCAATAGAAAACACAATCTTGTTGATTCATTTTCATGAGCAATATTCCAAGGCCCATTGATAAAGTGGTGTGTCTTTTTTAACTGAGGATTCAACAGGTAGGAAGGTTTGGGGAAGAGTTTCCAAAGAATAATTAAGAGGAAGTACCACTGGAGCTGAGACTGAAGAAGCAAAGAGAGAGAGAGAGCTAGAGGAACAAGCACGTTGGGAGAAGGGACAAGAAGGACAATCCGGAAAGCAGCGATTTTAAGTCTAGGGGTAATTTTGTAATAATTAGATTCCCTTAATAGTTGCAGACAGCTATGGAAATAGCCCTCAATTCAGAGGTCTTTAATTTCTTTAAACAAAGTTGGAACACACACTTTATGACTTTCCTTAGCTGGTCTTCTCCCAGTGATAAAGAGTCATTTATGGAGTGTCTACAAAATATACTTTAGCAATCTTCTTTGTTCTGTGATTTAAAAACACACTGAAATATAGCACTTTATGTAAATATGAAGTATGTGTAATAGACGCATAGGCTTTTCTTTTCATGATGAAAAGAACTTGAGACTGAACTTCTAGGTAACCTATGGAAATTTCCCTAGGAGAACCAAGAATTGATGATGCAGTGAGTGCTCTAGGAAAAGAAAGAGATGAGGCTTTGGAATAAGAAAGATGGAGATTCATATCTCAGCTCATTTAATATGAGCTGATTGACTTCATGTGAATTTCTTAATCTCAGTCTGTTGCCTTGTCCTATAAAGAGGGATACTAGTATTAGCAAAAAGCATTTGAGGATTTTTAAATTGAATGTATAAAGTGCTTAATGTAAAGCTACCATTCTTATCCACTATTATTACGAGTTTTAATACTATAAATTTGAAAATACATTTTATGCTTTAGAATCCCAGAGCTGTTGTCCTGGCTAAAACAGTTACAAGTAAAATTGCATAATCCTCCCACCATCAATTATCCAAGCAGCCAAGGACAAATGGACATATGTGTAACATCTGGCAGCCAAGACGGTCTTTGTAAGGTAAGACTGAAAGGACAGGGAACCGCACATTAAGAATTAAATATGTTCCAGGGCACCTGGGGGCTCAGTCAGTTGAGCGTCTGACTTCAGGTCCGGTCATGATCTCTTGATGTGTGGGTTCAAGCCCCACGTCAGGCTCTATGCTGAGAGCTCAGAGCCTGGAGCCTGCCTCTGATTCTGTGTCGCCCCTCTCTCTCTCTGCCCCTCCCCCACTCTCACTGTCTCTCTCTCTCTCTCTCTCTCTCTCTCTCAAAAATAAATATTGAAGAAAAAAAATTTTTTAAAAGAATCAAATATGTTCTTAACTACACTCATCGGTCACCTAACCACAAGACGGTCACGTATCTATCTTTACCTAGAATTTTAAACAGGGAATTTAAAGACATTTACCAACCTGATTGTACTTCAGTGTAGATCATGTGGTTAATGACGCAGAGCTAGGAGTCATTAAAACAAGATTCCCATGAAGGGAGTACTCCTACCAGAAGCTTAGTGAGCACTGCTTAATTTCATCTGGCTCAAAGATTCAGGTTAGATTTTGATTTATGTAGTTATCAAATTTCAGTATGATTTTTAAAGTCTTTAGAGCGGATATCCTCATAGTTCTGAAATGTTATGTCTGCTTATATAAGCATCTGTACTCAAAACTGCTTACATTTGGTCTTCTTGGATGTGCTTCCCTAGATCTCTACGTATATATCTGTCTCTGACTTCTTTCTGAGTTAGTTCTTGTGTTATCTCTCTCTCCACCTCTCCACGTCTCTCTTTCTCTCTAAATTATTCCATCTGCCTCTCTCCTGAGTTCTGGGAAGTCCATATATGTAACCACCACTGGCGGGTTCTCACAATAAAGAGACTGTACCTATGGTTCTCAATTTCATCTGTTTTTTTAAATTTTCTTTTTCATGAATAATTAGCCCTAAAGATTTTCTACATTCAGTCTTCACATGTAGATTAAAAAGGACTCTTACTTATCTTAAGCCATAGTAGCGTTGTTTTTCTTTTTATGAAAATGTGAAAGCTATAATCTAGTTAGTGTTAATGAAAATTTTAATTAAATTATTACAGCATGATGCATTGAAGTAATAAGAATATAATTTTCCTCCCTCTTTTTTTTATTTAATTGGGGAAAAAAGAGGATTAGCTACTGTGGGAGTGTTTGCTTGAAAAGAAACATTTGTGGAGCACCTGGGTGTTTCAGTCGGTTAAGTGTCTGACTTCAGCTCAGTTCATGATCTTGCAGTTTGTGAGTTTAAGCCCTGTGTTGGGCTCTGTGCTGACAGCTCAGAGCCTGGAGCCTCCTTCAGATTCTGCGTCTCCCCCTCTCTCTGTCCCTCCCAAGCTCATGCTCTGTCTCTCTCTGTCTCTCAATAATAAAAACGTTACAAAAATTTAAAAAGAAACATTCGTGATTCCATAGACTAATACGAAAAAAGTTCTTTTCAGTTAAATTCGTAGAAGGTATACTATGAACTTTTTCCCCCCCCACAAAGATGCTCAAGACAATTTCTTCTTTATCTGTCACAACATCAGTAATATCAAAGGAAGATACCATAGATGGCTGAATACATCAATAACTCCTTCATTTACAGACATGTTATTACAAAGGCCTTAGTGGGAATCTGGTTTACTTAGTGGGAACTCCTTCCACTTTGTTCATCATTTTAGTCACCTGTGTCTCTTTCTACATCTATTAAACAGTGCTATTCTCATGTCCCCTAATTGACATGGAAAATGTATATAATTAGGTTTTTTTTTTTCATTTGATCAATTGACAGTGGATATGCCACCCAAGTAATTTGTTTGGTCCTAGGATGTCCTGTAAAGCTGAATAATTTAGAAACCCTCTGGAGGAGGGTAGCTTTTGTCATACAAGGTCAAAATCTCCTAAGAAAAAGGGAAAGGGGACATCCTAGGTCAAATCAGGAGACAAAAGTCAAATGGTCTATCTCAGCTGATAATGGCCATACTGTTTGTCATGAGATATAGGTTGTAAGATGAGAGTGAGGATTGAGATACACCACAAGGAAAGAAAAGATGATTCCATGAATTATGTAAGATGTAGTCATAATAGACCCCCTTTGATTTAGGCTAGAAGTATCTATTGTCTAGAGATCATACTCTCTGCAAAATCTCCTAAAACCTGTCAAGCCTGTCTTACCTGACCTCTAAATATCCTTTAACATTGTTGATCTTCCCATCCTTTCTGAAACACTCTTCTCTGACTGTCTCAACACCCATTGGCCCAATTGTCCTGCCTTATTTGCAATGTCCCCCTCTACATATCCATCATTTATTGGACTTCCTCAAGGCTCAGTCCTCAAACCTCTTCTCTTAGTCCATATATTTTCCCTGGGTACCTCCATTCACACCCTGTGTTCAATCATAGCTAGTAACTTATATATTCCTTCCAAATCCATGTGATCCATCTGTCCACCTGGAACCATGACAGAATGTTTCAAAGGCATCTCAAACCAGAACACATTCCTCACCTTCTCCCCCAGAGATGGACAACTTTGTGGTTCTGTTTATCAGTGAATAGCGTCACTCCTTCCAGGAGTCAGTCTTCATGCTTCCTCTTCCTCGTTCCTCTCTCTTGGCATTGTGTTCTCTTGACATGGATTTCCCAAATACCTCTTCAGTTCTCCTCTCCAATTCCATCATTGTTGGTCAGGCTAAACCTGCATCTCCCTCCAGAACTACAGCAAAAACGTTACAGAGAATCCCAAAACTTCCCAAACTTTCCACATGTATTCACACTCACCTTTTATTCTTTCATATTGCTGCCAGAATGATCTTTCCAACATGCATATCTATAATGTGACTCCTCCTTTCCAGCCTCTACCTGAAATTCTTACTGGCCTCGTGTGGCTTGAATGCCTACATGGTATTTCTCTGTCTACTTCTATCTGATCTCACTCCACCCTCCTCTTTACTTTCCATTTCAAGCCACAGAATTCTTTTCAGTTTCTCAAAATGTACCTATTGTGATCCCCTATACCATTTCATCACTTCAAGGAAGCCTTCCCTGAATGCCCAAAATTCCCTGAATGCCCAAGTCCTCTTACAGTGAGCCCATGTAACATTGTGCATTTATACATCATAACACTCACCATTGTTTTAAAGTATACATTTATTTGAGTAATTATTTGATTAGCATCTAGTTTTCCCATTGGACTAGTACCTCCATGAGGATAAGAACCATGTTGCCATACTCAACATTTTGTCTCCATACCATACAGAGGCTTGGCTTATAGTAAATATTTAATACATTTTCAAAGAAGGAGTAAAAGGAATAAATGAATTTTAGCCAAACTAGTTATCTTACCTTAAAACAGAGGTTGGGAAACTATGGCTTGAAAGTCAGGCTTCATCTGACTTTACAAATAGAGTTTTGTTGGAACTCAGCCACACCTGTTGGTTTACATATTGTCTTTGGCTTCTTTCTCACTATAGAGGCAGAGATAAATAGTTGTACTGGAGATATTATTGCCCACAAAATATGTGCCATCCTGCACTTTACAGAAATTTGCCAACTCCTACTCTAGAATCTTCAAACTAAACTCAAACTAAAAAAGGACACTAAGAAGGGAGATAATACATTCCAAACTAACCTATGTTTCTTTTGTTAGGTGTTTGAAATGATCATTAATCCTGGAGATAATGTCCTCCTAAATGAACCTGTTTATTCAGGAACCCTTCAAGCTGTGAGTACACATTTTTCTAAAGGGCAACTCTCTTTCTTATAATAAATAAGAAAATATTGCACTTTTAGGATTATCTGGCCACTGAAAAATAAAATAGGAGAATCTTAAATGATATATACAAAATATGTTAAGTGTACCCTCCACTTTTTTTTTTTTTTTTTTTTACAAACTCTAAATACGTAAATGCTAAAATTAGGCTTTACTAATTTTGCTTTTTTGGATGCAGAATCATGTCCAGCTTTCTTAATATTACACTTGAAATGCAACTTCATTTACAAAAACTTATTTTTCCATTACTGTCTTTTACTACTGTATGCCTAAGTATAATCATGTTATATGTCAATTTAATACAACTGTAACCTAACATGGTATAATTAGGACTTTCCACTCTAGTGTTAAATTAATCCGACTATAATATCCAGAATGAGAAAGCTGATCATCTGGCTGACGTGCACTAGTCAGAATACACCACTGAGAATTAGGTTTGTTTGGGGTACAATACTTAAGATAGTCGTGGATTAATTTCTGCATGTCCTCAGCTTAACAGAACTGGAATAAAAGGGTGGAAACTAGAGGGAAGCTATTTCAACTCAAACAACTTCCTAGCCATGAGCCTCACCTGACTCCTGATTGCCTAGGGAGGTACAGTACTGCCCATCACTGGGGGTGCTCAAAGTTATTCTGAACTGTCATCTAATACAAGTGATAGAAAAGTAATTCTAGCTTAAAATAGGGAAACAAATGAGATGACTTTTATGCTCTGTTGATTCTAACACTGGATTCTCTTTTTCAAGCTTAATATTGTCTTTAAGATTAATATTTAAAGCAATAAGCTAGTCTTAATGAAAGGCATATTTTGTCAAAACTTCTAAGTAGGGATAAAATTTTTCTTATAAAAAATGCTTTTCCTATGAACAGTCTGAAAAGCAAATTAAGAAAATATTTCCAGGGGCACCTGGGTGGCTCAGTCGGTTAAGCGTCTGACTTTGGCTCAGGTCATAGTCTCACAGTTTGTGGGCTTGAGCCCCTCATTGGGCTCTGTGCTGACAGCTAGCTCAGAGCCTGGAGCCTGCTTCGGATTCTGTGTCACCCTCTCTCTCTGACCCTCCCCTGCTCACGCTGTTTCTCTCTCTCTCTCTCTCTCAGAAATAAATAAAAAAAATTAAAAAAAGAAAATAATTCCATTTATAATAATAGCCAAAAGAATAAAATACCTGAAATTAAATATAACAAAGGGAATGAAAGACTGGCATATTAAAAATTATAAAACACTGTTGAAAGAAATTAAAGAAAACCCCAATAAATGGAAAGACATCACCTATTCATCAATTGGAAGACTTAATATTGTTTAGATGTCAATAGTACCAAAGTAAACTACATACTCAATATAGTCCCTATCAAATTCCAGTAGCCTTTTTTGCAGAAATTTATATGGGATTGGAAGGAACCCAAATAGCCAAAATAATCTTGAAAAAAAACAAAGTTGGAGGACTCCCAGTCCCTAATTTCAAAACCCACTTCAAAGCTACAGTAATCAAAATAGTGTGGAACTGGTATAAGGATAGACATATAGACCAATGGAATATAACTGAGAGTCCAGAAAGAAATCTACACATCTATGGTCAATTTATTTCAACAAGGGTATCAAAACCACTCAATAGGGGAAGAATAGTCTCTTCAACATATCATGCTGGGACAACTGGATTTCCACATGGAAGGACAGAAATTGGACCCTGACCTCACACCATATAAAATTTAACTCAAAATGGATCAAAGACCTAAATGGAAGAGCTAAAACTATAAAATCTTAAAGCATACAGGCAAATCTTCATGACCTTGGGTATGGCACTAAATTCTTAGATATGATACCAAAAAGCAGGCAGAAAGAACAAAAAAATAGATAAATTGGACTTCATCAAAAATTAAAAACTTGTGGAGCACCTGGGTGGCTCACTCCGTTAAGCATCCACCTTCAGCTCAGGACACAATCTCACTGTTCATGAGTTCAAGCCCCACGTCGGGCTCTGCTGACAGCTCAGAGCCTGAAGCCTGCTTAGGTTTTGTGTCTCCTTCTCTCTCTGCTCCTTCCCTCCTTGTGCTCTGTCTCTCTCAAAAATAAAATAAACATTAAAACATTTTTTAAAAATTAAAAACTTTGTGTATCAAAGGATAGTATGAAGAAAGTGGTAAGATAGCCTACAGCATGGGAAAAAAATATTTGCAAACCATGTATCTGATAAGGACTTAATATCCAGAATATATAAAGACCTCCTACAACTCAACAACAAAAACCAAATAACCTAATTTAAAAATGGACAAAGGACTTGAATAGACATCTCTCCAAAGAACATATACAAGTGGCCAATAAGCACGTGAAAAGTTGCTCAACCTCATTAGTCATTAGAGAAATAGAAATCAAAAACACAGGAAGGTACTACCTACACTACCAGGACAGCTATTTTTTAGTGTAAAATAATAAGTATTGTTGAATATGTTGAGAAATTGGAACCCTTGTGGAAATGTCAATTGGTACAGCCATTGTGGAAAAGAGTCTGTCAGTTTCTGAAAAAATTAAACAGGGAATTACCACGTGGCTGGTTGGTTCAACTCCAAGTATGTACCCAAAAGAACTGAAAACGAGCTCAAACAGATAATTGTACACAAATGTTCATTGTGGCATTATTCATAATGGCCAAAAGATAGAAGCGACTCAAGTGTACATCAACAAGTGAATGGATAAAGTGTGGCATATACATGTGATGTGATGGAATATTAGCCATAAAAAGGAACAAAGTTTTAACACATGCTACAAAATGGATAAACCTTGAAAACGTTATGCTGACTGAAAGAAGCCAGAGAGAAAAGGACAAATATTGTATTACTCCACTTCTATGTTCCTTGTATCTAAAATAGGCAGATTTGCAGACACCGAAAGTTAGTGGTTACCAGGGTCTGGGAGGAATGGAGAGTTACTGATTAATGAGTTACTGATTAATGAGTACAGAGTTTCTGTTTGGAATGATGAAAAAGTTTGGAAATCAACAGTGATGATGGATGTACACATTGTGAATGTGATTAATGCTATGAATTGTACACATAAAAAATGGCTAACATGGTAAAATTTGTTATATATCTACTTATCACGATAAAAAACTAAAGTAATATAATTGCTCTTAATGACTGGATAGTAAATAATAATTACTTTAGTAAATTCCTTATATAATGCGTGTGAATATAAAACCAGAGTCCACGTAAATGCATGCGCAAATGTTTTCCCCTACCCAAACAGAAACTGTGTGCCACACTATGAGGAAGTGTGCTGGTAAGCAATATGTATTTATTTCATGGCCCAGTATTAATTTGTTTTATTCATGGTAGATGTGCTTTTTCAGACTGAGAACTTTTAAATCTGTCATAAATTTGTCTGGATTATTCCCACTTAGTACATAATACCACATTTGACTGCCAAGAGTGTTTTCTTATCCTTTGGAAAATTTTATTTTCTCAGGACCCCACTAAATTAGTTACTTTTTTTTTCTATTTTTTTTGTATTTTTTCCCCCGGCATAGTTTATTGTCAAATTGGTTTCCATATAACAGCTAGTGCTCATCCCAACAAGTGCCCTCCTCCCTGCCCATCTCCCCCCTCCCCCCCAAAACCCATCAGACCTCAGTTTGTTCTCAGCATTCAAGAGTCTCTCATGGTTTGCCCTCCTCTGTCTCCCCAACTATTTCCCCCTTCTTCTCCCCCATGGTCCTCCATTAAGTTCCTCCTAATCCTCCTATATGTGCAAACATATGGCATCTGTCCTTCTCTGCCTGACTTATTTTGCTCCAGCATAACACCCACAAGTTCCATCCATGTTGCTACACATGGCCAGATTTCATTCTTTCTCATTGCCATGGAGTATTTATTCCATTGTATAGGTAAGCCACATCTTCTTGATCCATTTGTCATTTGATGGACATTTAGGCTCTTTCCATGTGTTGGCTATTGTTGGGAGTGCTGCTATGAACATTGGGGTACATGTGCCCCTATGCATCAGCACTCCCTATGTATCCCTTGGGTACATTCCTAGTAGTGCTATTGCTGGGTCATAGGGGAGTTCTATTGTTAACTTTTTGAGGAATCTCCCTATTGTTTTCCAGAGGGGCTGCACCAGTTTATATTCCCACCAACAGTGTAGGAGGGTGCCTATTTCTCCACATCCTCGCCAGCATCTAGAGTCCTCTGATTTGCTCATTTTAGCTACTCTTACTGGCATGTGGTTTTGATCTGCATTTCCCTGATGATGTGTCTGTTGGCCATCTGGATGTCCTCTTTGGAGAAGTGTCTGTTCATGTCTTCTACCCATTTCTTCACTGGATTATTTGTTTTTCAGGTGTGGAGTTTGGTGAGTTCCTTCTAGATTTTGGATACTAACCCTTTATCTGATATGTCATTTGCAACTATCTTTTCCCATTCTGTCAGTTGACAACTAGTTTTATTGATGGTTTCCATTGCCATGCAGAAGCTTTTTATCTTGATGAGGTCCCAATAGTTCATTTTTGCTCTTGATTCCCTTGCTGTTGGAGATGTCTCAAGTAAGAGATTGCTGCAGTGGAGGTCAAGGAGGTTGTTTTCTGCTTTCTCCTCCAGGGTTTTGATGGTTTCCTGTCTCACATTCAGTTCCTTTACCCATTTTGAGTTTATTTTTGTGTATGGTGTGAGGAAATGATCCAGTTTCATTCTTCTGCACGTTGCTGTCCAGTTCTCCCAGCACCATCCGTTAAAGAGGCTGTCTTTTTTCCATTGGATACTCTTTCCCACTTTGTCAAAGTTTAGTTGGCCATACATTCATGGGTCCAATTCTGAGTTCTCTAGTCTATTCCATTGGTCTATGTGTCTATTTTTGTGCCAATACCATACTGTCTTGATGATTACAGCTATGTAGTAGAGACTAAAATCTGGGATAGTGATGCCTCCCGCTTTGGTTTTCTTCTTCAATATTACTATGGCTA